CTATTATATGCTTTGTTATTTTTAATCATTGCCAGTTGGACTTCTATATGCCTCACTTACTGTATGTTAAATTCTTTTTCATTTCTTGGAAATTTTTCCATCATTTCTTCTGTGAACAGGTGTTTTATGTTGTCTGTGCTTTCTCCTGATTTTTTAAAAATGTATTTGGTACAGGGTCTCACTCTGCAGCTCAGATTCCTATTGATCCTCCTGTTTTCAGCCTCCACAGTGCTGGGATTTCAGGCCTGCGCCACCACACCCAGTCTTGGTGCCAGCTCAGCACACATAGCGGATGGGGCCATGCAGCATGTGGTGTGGGGGGTCCAGGGATCAAACCCAGTCCCTGTGCTTGCCTGAGCAGGCACTTAGTCCACTGAGCTATCTTGCCAGCCCTTCCTGATTTTTTTCATTAACTCTGATCTATGTTATGTTATTTTTCTTTGTATCATGTAGCAGCTATTGATTTTTCATGTTCCCTCCTTTTCTCTTGTTAAGAAATCTTTCTTTTCATGATTACTAACCACAGTCCTGTCTTCTGTATCTGGCTCATTTTGCTGAACATATTTTCAATGGAATTTTTAATCTCCTGGATATCTGAATTTGTTTTGCAGATTCCATTCTTTCCTATGTTGGGCAGTCATGGTTTGTATCATTTTCCTAAGCACCTCTTTCTTTCTTTCTTTCTTTCTTTCTTTCTTTCTTTCTTTCTTTCTTTTTTTAATCTGTGTTTGCTCTGAAGTCACTAACCAGGGGTCAGGGAGATAGCTCAGTAGAATAAGTGCTTGCCTGGCAAGTACAAGAGCCTGAGTTCAATTCCCAGTTCCACAAAAAAAGTCAAAATTAAAATCAAGTCACTAACCAGGTCTTTCAATATGGTCATCATCTCGGTAGTTATCTGAGAGATTATTTCTTTTTTTTTTCTTTTTCTTTTTCTTTTTTTTTTTTTCAGAACTGGGGATTGAACTCAGACTCTTGCGCTTGCCAGGAAAGTGCTTATTCCATTGAGCCATCTCCCCGGCCCCTGAGAGATTATTTCTGATTCAATGTTTTTCCTAGAGCCTCATTTATCTGTTTTGTTATTTCTGCTGTTACCACTTCAGAGAGTCCAAGTGGGTGACTTTTGAATTGTTCCACCTCATTGCCCCGCACGTTTGCCTGTGGTAGGCTGCAAGTCTGAAGTTGCATCTTGCTTAAGTGTCTTCTCATTTTCTATTTTTTTTTTTTTTAGTTTAATATCTGTGTTAATGCTTGCAAATTGTTTATGGTATCTGGCTTTATTGCTAGTATTTATGTGTGTGTGTGTGTTTGTGTGTGTGTGGCCAGCTCAGCCCACCAGGGGGCAGTGCTGGCTGGCATGTGGTGCTGGGGGAATTGAACCACGGTCCCTGTGCTTTTATTTATTTATTTATTTTAATTTATGTGTGTGTGTGTGTTTGTGTGTGTGTGGCCAGCTCAGCCCACCAGGGGGCGGGGCTGGCTGGCATGTGGTGCTGGGGGATTGAACCGTGGTCCCTGTGCTTTGCTGAGCTTGTTCTAAGTAGGTGCTTTAGACCACTGAGCCACCTCACCAGCCCCCCTGTGCTTTTAGTTTGTTCTAAGTAGATGCTTTAGACCACTGAGCCATCTCACCAGCCCCCTATTGCTAGTATTTAGAACACTCAGGAAATGATTACTTTTCAGAGATGTCTTCCAGGTGTAGCTGGCTTTTGGGTTCTGAGTCTATTGCAGGATCCTACCTCTTCAATATATTGGGAATGAGAAGTTGGTGCCTCTTTAGCCTCACCCCTGGTTCTTTGGCACTGGCCAGCACTATGGTTTATGAGCTTTAGGCAATCTCAGTCTTAGTGTATCAGGAAAAACAACTGATTAGAACAATTTTGTCATGTTGGCTAAAGTACAATCTGCAACAACAATGCATCAAACACAGCATAGAAAATGCCAAACTGTTGTAAACTATTGACTTGCTATCTTTAATTGTATGAACTATTTTGTGATTATATAACAAAACCTGAACCCAGAAAAAATGTATACAGTAAATATGCCCCCTAGGGGCTAGGGGTGTAGCTCATTGGCACAGTGCCTGCCTGGCAAGCACAAGGTCCTGAGTTCAATTCCTTGTACAAAAAAAAAAAAAAAACCTACATTAGATATTCTCTCAATATAGTGATTTTACCCTTGGGAGAAAATTTAAAGGGTGCTGGGGAAGAAACAGAAGAGGAAGAGTAGAAACAAGGCTGGCAGACAAAGGAAGATTACATGAACTTTGGGAAACTGATGAAGAAGACAGGAAGGAAAGAGAAGGAAGAAATAGAACAACAGCAAAAGAACAGAACCAGAAAGTTACAAGCCATGTTCATGTTCATCTATAAATAGGAACAATAAAAAAAAAAAAAAAAAGAAAGAAAGAAGAAAAATATTTCCACTTCAGGATGAGCCTCTGCTGTCCCTGGCATACAGGGTGGGTAGACAGGATCCAGATCCATGGTGATTAATCCCAGCAAGCCAGTTTATAGGTTGACAGCAGGGTAGTGGATGGTTGCAGCAAGCCTGCACTTTTAGTTCTACTGACATTCAGGCTGATTTCTGGCTGTGAGGCTAGACCTGCCTTTGGTCAGCCTGCAGCACTCGCTGTGTCTCCTGTCAGCCTGAACTCGGCTCCTTGCCCTCTACTGACTTGAACTCGGTTCTGCCTCACCCTCACACCGAGAGCTCTAGGTAGAGCCAGTGGCCGCTCTGAGTTCTGAGCTCAGTTAGCCTCTCTCTACGATGGCCCCTGAACTACCTTCTTCTGGGAGACATCTGAGCCCGGATAGCTCACTAGCCATTGCTCCATTCCACAGGCGTGTTTCTCTGTGGAGGACTCTGGGGTCACCAGTGGTCACTGTGTGCCTGCAGATTCAAGCTGCCCCTTCCACACAATAAGTCAGGGCTCGGGGAAAAGGCTCCACTTGCCACCGCCTTCTGTTTTGAGATCATTCTTTTCCCGCTCCTCATGGACTTCAATTCCTGCTTCAGATGCTCCCTGGGTACTTTCCACTTTCCCTTTTCTTCTCTTCCTTCCATTGCTATATTCCAGTATCTGGACATCAAATTTTGGAGAGGCTGTTTCTCTGCTATTCACCACTGTGACATCTTCCTGAAAGTTTGTTTTTGAGACAGGGTCTCACTATGTAGCTCAGGCTGGCTTTGAACTCTCAGAAATCCTCCTACCTGTGCGTTTTGAACTCTGGGATCAGAGATGTGCACCCCCACACTCATCACCTCATTCCATCTTAATTACCTCCTTAAAGACTGTATCTCTAATTAACCACTAAGAAGAATATATGCAGTGTATTATTTGTTGAAACTGTACTTCCGATTTGATTTGAAACTGTCTCATTGCTGTTTATAAAAATTATTTATTTTTATTTATTACGTTTATTTATTGT